GGGTGCTGTATGTCAAGGAGATTGGAGAGGAGGAAGCTGCAATATTCAAGATGTCAGGTGGTAAGAGCTCAACAACAAAAAAGCTGTGTGAATAGTAACAAAAGGTTTGATTTTGAACATGTTGTGGAGGAAGAAGAATTTGGATACAGGCTGAATGGGTGAGGCAAAGGAGAGGAAGGGGTCAAACATGAACCTCAGATGTTGTGCCTGCATGAAGAAATGGATGGCAGTGGTGTCAACAGTGACCGGATGTAGGAGAGGGGGATGTTTGAGAGGACATCCAAGGTATTAATTTTTTGGCCATGTTACATTTAAATTGAAGGTAAGACATTATGGATGAGGATTCAGAGGGGCAGGATGAACTGAGACACGACAAGAGTGGAAATAAAGATTTGTGACTCATTGGCATAAAGATGGTAGCAGCATCCTAGTGAGCAGATGAAGCAATAGTGCTTAAGGCAGCTAACTCGGTTTGGTCTCTTTCCCAGCGGACAAGTGTGCTTATCACAAAATCATCACTCTACTTGGCCCTAACAAGCAGCTGTAGTTTAGAGAATTTGATGTGAGACCAAAAATAAAAATACCTGGGTTCTCTTTCCAATCCAACTCTACCATTTACCAGCTGAGAGACCATGAGCAAGTCATGAGCTTTCTGGCACCATTACCACATGTTCAAAAATAAATCAATAAAAATAAAAAGATCACGTTTGCCAGTCTTTTGTAATGCACTTTGGAATGTATGGGTGAAAAAGAGCTGCTTTAAGTGCACAGGGGTTGAAAGTCTCAGAGGAGAGACTAAGGATTGAATGTGCCAAAGACTCAAGCCCTCTAAGTCAGGATTGAGGCCTTTTGGGAAGGCAGCATGGGGAAGCTATCACTGCTATTATCCATCCTCTACCTGTTCAGTGAAAATATAGTGGACATGAGTTTCAAGAGTGCAACCTGGAACTTCTTATGAGCACTGTGTTCACACACAATTAATTAAAGCTTTCTGCAATTTGTGCTTTCCTGCTTTTCAGTTCAAAATCAGAATCCCATTAGATCATTTTGTCCCTTTCACGTGTCACTTCTAACGTGTTGCATTGTCTGTAGGTTTGAACTTTTAGCTCGTATTTATTAAGCTCTATTTCTATGCTTATACCTCTGTTAGTAACTTGCATTTTTCTAGTGCAACATGTACAAGAGGTGGTGAAATTTTTAAATTATTTCTGTGAATATTGATTCAACTCATTACATTAAGTTATTGGGAGCATGTTTGTATGTTTGTGCACCCCTTTTGCATTTGGTTTCCATCAGGAGTCTCACAATTGATCGGCATGTTCTTGGTATGAATATTTGTCCCAGTAATCTCCAAGTTAGATGTTCAGTCTTTGCATAAACTGAATTTTAAATTTGCACTCACTGACATTGACAATGAAAGTTCTTGCATGCTCATCCAATCAGAAAATGGAGATACTATATAATATATCTTACCAGGAACAGCTAAGCAATGCTGCTTGAACATCAATATTTGTGATAAATCTATAGAGTAAAAAAAATTTAAAAAGGACATTTAAAAAATATCCTGGCATTCATAATATTACTTATGGCTAAAATCAAAGAATAAAATATTCATTGTAAATTATTCAGCTGTAATGGGTATAAAGACAAATATATGTGAACATGGGCAAAATTATTAGGAGGTAAAATGTATTGTGAATTAAACCAAAAGAACCCCCCTAAAATCTATCATAATCATAGAATGATTATTTAATGTGATCCTTTTCAGTTTTCTGTGACATCTAGACCTCTTTTGTTGTTATGGCTCATGATCAATGTTCCCTCTAATTTTTGACAGGCCGTGTCCACAAAAAATTTCTTCTGTGCAGAAGCAGAGTTCAAATTTGTGCGCCATGAGGCAAATGCGCTGATGTAGTATTTCATTTTTTGTGCGTGCGGTGTTTCGCCATGTGCGCGGGGTTTAGGATCTGTGTGCGCACGCACATGCACACAGCTTAGAGGGAACAGTGCTCATGATCACATGAAACATTTTATTTAAAAGATATGACCCATTTCTCTACAAAATGTGTTCAAGAGCCCAATACACATTTGAAATTTGTTACATATTGCAACTGATTCAGGTGCCACTGTCCTCTGCTCAATCCATAATGCACGAAGGAGCAAAGACAACTAAAAATATACCAATGAAATGGTATAGTAAATAGAACATCTATAATTATTTCTGTTCTAAACTTTGATGTTCAGAGTTAATGTTTATTTTTGATTACATTAGTTAGAAACTTGGTAATCAAGTTTTCAATCCAAATGCTATTTTTCATGCAGTAAAAAGCTAACTAGCCCCTTTTTTATGCAATTTAAAATACACTGGACATTTGCCATCATATTTAACCTTTCTTTCACTTAAAAATGAAAATCGTAAATCAATCAACATAAATCAATTTGCCATTCCCAATGTAATGTCAAAAAGAATCAGGCTGTTGGTCAGTGAGTCTAAGCAAGTAGACTAATTATGTAGCTACAAGGGAAAATAATGTGTGAACGGTGCATGAAGGTATTAGAGAATGTGTGAGACATTCATCAGTTTCAAAGGTTTGAGGAAAAAGAGGAGCACCTTAACACCTTGCTGCAGTGCTTTCTTTTGCTGGCTAGCCTGATAGAATCAGAGAAGTCAAAACCAGCCAGATTTCCTACTCCTAATGAGATTGTTGGAAGCCTGTTGTGGGATCCTCCAGTTTCCAACTTGGCAATTGATATATATTCAAGTGTGGGTATAAATTCTGTCAATGCCTCTGTGCTCTTTATAAATATGCTACGAGAACTTGCTCTCCATTAAGTCCATTTAGTTTTTTTACCCATGCAGTTGTATTTCCAGATTAGGGAAGTTCTGAGGAAGCACGGACTATGGTTTAGAACACAGCACTGGAAGTCATGCAGTGTGGGTTCTCTTTTTTACCAGTGGGGTGTTTGACTTCTCCTTGCCTGCATTTCCCCATCTATAATATGGAGACAATGCTGTACCTTGCACAGTGTTGTGGGGCTTAATTCCGTGATTAAGAGTTTGAAGGTCCTTGACTAGCATATAGTCTAGAAATGCAAAATACTGTGTTTTCTACTCCACAGTGAATCACTTCAGGGGAGGATGGGATTGCATTTTACAAATAGAGAAATTGAGGGAGAGACATTAGGAACTTATTCTAGTGTCAGTGTCAGTCCTGGAATTAGAGATCATGCATCTCCAGGCCTATTGGTGGGCAGGGATTTGTATGAGAAATTCCCACTTTCACCAATGCAATTTACCTGTTTACGGTGTGTTTCACATTCATCTATAGATACAGAACCCCAAAGTCTTCAAAAGCAATACAGTGTTTCAAATTAGTCTGTCAGATATTTTTAATAAGGCAAAAACTCGAGTTTTTGAACGTGAATAATATTTATCTTGGGGGGAAATGTCTTCAAGTATTCTCCATTGCTATATACTGTCAAAAATTAGATTGGGGTGTGATTTAAATACTGGTAACAGACAAGATGCTGTCCTGTGTTGTCTTAATATCCAAATGTTGGTTCCAATAAGATTCTGATTTGTCAGGATCAGTTTAGGCCATCATTGAATTGTATAATATGATCAAGGCTAAATAAAACCCTGGTGTAATTCGACTGAATTCTGTGGAGTTACACCAAGGATGAATATGATCTATGGATTGTAGATACTTAAAACAGGAACAAAACCATTACCGTAGAGTCCTTCCATAAGGTTTTTGAATAAGCGAAATCTGGAAAGGAAAATTGTAGAGAAGCAGTGGGGCACTAAGGGAGGAATATATTGATCTTAATGCAGCAGCTTTTTGACACTGTGGAAAGAATTTGAAGATTTTGTTTACTACGGGAAATGTTCCTATTTTACTCATATATATTTTGTTGGATGTTGGTATCTGTTCTGGATAATTTTAGGTTGTGCACAAAGAGCTCTTCAGATCTCAAAGGGTGAAACCCACTTACGCTTTTAATGCAGGGCTTACACGATATGTAGGGTTTTGTTCAGGCCCACTGCACTGGGGTGAGTTTCTCTCTATCTAACTAGTTGGGAATAGTTTGTAACAGTCACATGCATTTTGTTTAATACTTTTAAATAAGTGCTGAATGCATTTACTGTCTCCTTTAAGCTATAGCATATAACAATAATCATCTTAGCCATTTAGATATAATTAAACATCTTTTTAAAAAAAGAAACCAATTGGAAGCATTTCTTACTATTTACAAGCCTTTTAAATTAGCATTTGCTTTAGCTGCTCCTGGGATGGCCAGCCATTCTCCCAATGGGAAAACTCTCCTATCGCTGCAATATATAATCCTTTATCATCAAAGCATGTGGGAGAATTTCCCAGTATTTCATTTTGGTTATCAGGAGAACAAAGCAATCTGCTGTCAGCAATAAGGAAGGATTGCACACTTAAAAAATAGAGGTTATTCTCCTCTTAGTGCATGTGCATGACTCATCATTAATGGGAGGTACACAGGACCATATTTTGCCTTTGCTTCATGTGCAGAATTCCCTTCAGAATAAATGGGAGTTTTGCACAAAAACTTCAGTGGAATATGGCACAAAGAGGCAAGGCCCTTGTTAAGGAGACACTCAAATATGGCATAAATGCATTGGATGCCTCTGGATTTGGTGAGTAGTGGGATGTACTGTATTTTACCCAGCCCTGCTATGGTTTTTGGTTTATTGTTATTACCTAATGATCCCCACATGAATCTCCATTAGCACTATTTATTCAAATTCTATTATTAAGAGCAAATGCAGACCAGTGGTTATAAAAATCCATCTCTCTTGCCTTTATGCTAATTGTGTAGTAGTAATGACACACAACTTTGCATAGTAGTAAAATATCATGTTGTTTGCATCATTTTCCTTCATCAATCATTCAGGTTTACACATGTTTTTAATATTACTTCTCATGTTAGTTCAAAACCATTATAACTACCTAATATTCAATTTACAGCTGTGGAACAACTATTTTCATCTGGCAGTGGCTTTTATTACCCAGGATTCTCTGCAACTAGAACATTTCTCCCATGCAAAGTACAATAAGATCCTGAATAAGTAAGTATAATATCAATATCTTAGGTGGTATTTTCTTTACTTTCATAATAAAACATCAATAAAGCCAGTGGTTTTTCCTTTTTCTCTTCTAGATATGGAGATATGAGACGTTTAATTGGCTTTGCTATCCGTGACATGTGGTACAAACTTGGTGAGTAACTATACAGTCTCAAGCACATCTGTACCCATAGTGCCCCCACTTCTCTTTGGAAAGAGTCTGTGACATGATTCAGGAATTTTAAATAGATCTGATTTTCAACACTGTCAGATGTTCTTCCTTTGGCAGCCCAAGCAGATGCTGCCACCAGCAAAATCACTTCATCTGAATGGTGTCTGTTATACATCTGAAAACTCACAAGCTGTTCTCTTAAAATTTAAGAAAGGATTCTCAGAAGATTTCAGCAATATTGTCTAAATCCACACCAGAATTAGTTACATTTTCCCTGCTGTAGTTTTGTATTCAAACTAGATGTAGGATTTCAGATAGTCTGAAGGTTAGGGGCTGTTTGGAACCACGTTAGTTGTGGGCCCATCACTATTATTACACCCTGCATACAGCCACGTAAGAGAGCAGTGGCAGAACTAACATTGTGAGTCCCAAACTGAAATGATGATGATAATAATCTTATCCTCCTTAAATTATTCTCACCCTGCTTTTAGGGATGTGAGTGGAAGACTATATATGCGATCAATACCTGTGACTATATGGTGATAATGAGACCTGAAAAAGTCTGGAATTTAGTTCTGCTAATCACCCAAAAGACTAGATCTTTTGGTCTTGCTATCTGAATCTGTAAAGGTCAAACCCTCTGTCCTCTTACAAACTCCATCATAGATTTTAATGTCAGAAGGGATCATTAGATCATCTAGTCTGGCCTCCTGCATAACATGTTTCAGCCAGTTAACCCTGTATTGAGCCCAGTCATCTGCATTTCACTAAAGCATATCTTCCAAAAAGGCATCTTGGTTTGAAGACATCAAGCGATGGAGAATCCATTACTTCTCTTGATAGTTTGTTCCAATGGTTAATCACGCTCATTGTTAAAAATGTGTGCCTTATTTCAAATTTGATTTTACTTCCAGCCATGGATTTTTCTTATGCCTTTCTCCACTAGATTAGAGAGACTTTAAATACCCCATATTTTCTCCCCTTATACTTGTACACTATAATCAAATCACCTCGTTATCTTCTTTTTGATAAGTTAAACAGACTAAGTTCGTCAAGTCTCTCACTGTAAGGCTTTTTTCCAGTCCTTGAAACACATTTTGGTCTACTCCTGCCTCGTTCCAAAATCCAGGATTGTCTTCAGGGGAGGGATAAACAACCTCTCTCATCTAGACCTAGGAAGCAGGGAGCCATTCCCTGTTAACTGCTGAAGTGATCTGACACTTGCCAAAGAGAGCCCCCACCCTCCACTACAGGGCAAATACAACAGGATAATGGTGAGCTTAAAAAGGCAGTCACTTCACCAAGGAAAACCAACAAACATGGCTTCTGCTGATTCACCTGAGTATCTGGGGCTAGGCTGAATAAACTAGGGGCCCGGAAGGAATGCAATGAGTCTTATATAATTTGTCCAACCACATCTTGAAACTTTTAGCCAGAAATGTACAATTAAAAAGGTATCTTGAAATTTTCACAGCTATCCAAGGGAGGAGAAGTTCCATGGACTCAAAAATAAGCAAATTTTGTAGGTTTATTTCATGGAAAATATTTCGTGTAGCTCTATAAGAGATGGGTGTGTTTAAAATATAAATATTATATTTATCCTCCACTGGTTAGATTTCTGAACCTGGGTATATGTTTAAGCTTTGTAATAGCTAGTTTAAATTTAGTCATGTGTCTGGTGTGTGTTACCTCCACTTTAATTATGCTACTGCCTTAATCCCAGGTTATTTCCGTTCTGAACATATGTTTATTTTGCTGAAATGAAATGCATTTTTTCCATTGGCACTTACAGTCATAATTCAGTGGCATTGTATTATAGTGAAACTCTAATAGAGGAAAATGCTAGTTGAACAGATGTGGTTTGGTTTTATCAACATTAAAAAAATAAAAAGTTAGCAGATCTGTCTAGGGATTTGTGAACAAAGTTCAATTAGTAGAGAAATCTTACTCATGGGTCAATGTCCCCTAAAATATTAAATCACTGGCTAAGTTTTTCTTCTTCCTATTCTCATCCTCCTTATCTCTGTCATCTGTGGGGCCTGTTCTAGGCTTTCTCCAGTGAGTTGCTGTGGATTGGCTAGCTCTCTGTAGTATTGAAGATACATGGTAAATCCCATTCTTCCCAAAGATGCCAACTCCCAAACAGGCCCTCTCTTGCATTTGGAGCATTCAGTCCCCTTTCCAAGGCCTATCATAATGAAATGTGCTTACACTTCATTTCTATGTACACCAGTCATAGAGACTAAGGCCAAGGTATTAAAAGGCATCTAGTGGATTTGGACGCTGATTTCCCATTAAAATTAATATGATTTGGATGGCCAAATACATCAGGCAGCTTTGAAAATCTCAGCCTAAGGGCCCAGTCTTGCTTCTGTTGAAGTTATCCTATTGTCCTATCCAATTGTTCTAATTACTTGAATGTGAGCAGACCCTAAATATTTTGTATTGTATGGATAGCTACCTTTTTCATACTCCTCTAAATGATTACATGAGAGAGAAAAGCATTGTGATGTAGATCCCAATCTCGAATCATGTTCTTTAGTTTCCCAAATGGTATGCCTTGCTTTTCTGTGTACTAACCAGTGAAAATTGAATGCAGGGGCCCATATTAAGGAAACAGAGAGGAAAATATGTCTGGTTACTTTAAAATCATGTTGACCTCTGAAAAGAGAGCAAAAAGCTACAGTATGAAAGATGTCAGCTCACATTAAATTTGTTCATCTTAGAGGTAGAGCTCAGAAATGACAAATGTCCTTTTTGGTTACTGAACATGTTGCTCCAACCTATCAAACAATCATAGCTTCAGTTACAGCCCCAGGGGTCACTTTCTTTTATGTAAGGGGAGATCTAAAAGTCTAAATGGATTGGGGAGGAACATAATTTGTTCTAAACAAAAAATCAACAAGTCATGAGTAGAAAATACAGGGGTATCGTTAAAGGCTGCTGCATAATTAGCTTTCCTGCCATTTTGTTGGTCTAAGGGTATTCTAGGCAAATTTAATTATCTACAAATGAGCCATTTTCAGCTGTTTGCTCTACAGTAAGCAATGACAGACTTCTGTTGAGTATCAAACATGAGTACTGCCTATCCCATCACTTTTTTGTTCTTTAACATGTAGGATTACTGTGGAAAATGCAGGGTGTCTGTTTCCTTCCCACATGTAGTATCACATTGTATTGATAGGTACAAGATTCTGTAATGTATTCACCTTTCTACCCAAGACTTCATTGTGACAAGGATTCCTTACATCAAAACATTGTTGTAGTGTGTCCTTTTTCCTGAATTTTTGCACCAATACATCTTATTTGAGGGGAATGAAATTTCCCCCTTACAGTATGTCCAGATCTTCTTAGGTTTGTATTTCCATCACCGAAGTTAGGATAGACACCAGAAGGGAGAGAGTATGTAGAGGCAGGAGCTATCTGAGCCTCAGAAGGCAACAACTGAAGCAGACAGTTGCTGAGGCTGTTATAACACCCTATACTATGAAATCAATTATACTTTTCAAATATGTACTGAAAGGGGCTGTGTTAGTTGCATAAAGACATGGAAAATATTCTTTTCTGCTAAAAGGCTTGTTTGAAGAGCAATGAGATTTCTTTGATATCTATATTTAACTGTGCAGTTGCCCAACTGACCCAGATGTCAGTGCTTGCCTGTGCATTTTGAATGTTTGCACTCGTCCTAGTGATCAGATACTCTGTGGTAATGTTTATTTAAACCCTGCAAATTCTTAATTTGAGACTAGAGCATTTCTTTGCTTTTGGACAGAGATTTTAATACAACAAATATTATTCAGGCAAGTCTGGTTAAGTCTTACTATTTTAGCATATTGATTGTTTAGATTTCAAAGCAATCATTAAAAAAAAAACGAATCTGCCCAATTAAGAGCAAAAGAAAAAGAAAGCCTTTAAAACCACTGTCGTCATTCTCATTCTTTGGAGTCTGGTAGCAGTAGGTGTGCCTTTTAAGTTGATCTCTTTTCCCAAATCAACCCTTGCTTTGTGAACCAAAAACATCTCTGCTATTATTTTTCTTAAATCCAGTAACATTGCAGAACATCTCTAGAGTCATTCCATTCACTCTGTATTACACTGCCTGTATGAGGGTCATTCTCTGCTTCTACTGCCCCTCCCCAAATCTAACAATCTGTGCCATAGCAACAGCCAGAAAAAAGGGCATCTTAGAAAATTCAGACCACAAAACCATTATCTGTGTCATAACCATCATTTGATATTAATTCTCCTTGGATTTATTTGATCTAATTTCCAAACTGCTACTGTCTATTTAAAGAAAAAAACCTTCATAACAAAAGTAAATACCGTAAATAAAACACAGACCAAATTGTTTATTTAGACTGTGCTGCCTGGAGTAGGGAACAAAACGGTAACATAGGCTGGTGGATTGAATTTGAGACTACAGGGAAGGAACATTTTAATCCTGGCTCTGACACTAACTACCCCGTGTCCTTTGGCAAGTTCCTTAACGTCTTTGTGTCTCAGTTTCCCATCTTTAAAATAAAGAAACATAGCAGACCTACTGCAAAAAGGTGAGAGACTTAAGGGACTTGCTTCTGCAAATGTTAATGACCAAATGTAGTGCTTACTATCATCAACATTCCAATTTATTGCAACGGGACTATTCATGATGGTAACCCATACAGCTGATAGAACCTTATGTGTTTTCAGGATCAGTCTTTTAAAGACTTTGAAATGATAAAACCCTCTAAGTGGTAAGTATTTCTCCAGTGAAGGGGTGGCCATTGTTAAGTAACAGTAAAATTTATTTTCTGTAGTTTCCAGTAGTTGTTTTTATAAAGTATATTTCTTTGTCAGGTATATGCAAGCTATACCTCGGAGTCAGGGGGTCAGAATCTCTGTAGCCTGTTGCAACTAATCAGAGATCTGCATCCCCTTTGGAGAGGTTCTACTTGTGCGCATCTTTATTGGTCTATGGAAGGGGAAGCCCTTCTCCTAGATTCTCTCCTTCTCCTAGAGTGGTTCCTGAAAGAGACTTCTGCACCACATTTCATCACACCAGTATGAAACTGATGGGAGAGGAAAATCAGACTAGTGTGGTATTGATGCCCAGATGCTACAACGATGGGCACCTTATATAATTTTTTTAATAAATAAAATAAGACACAGGAATTGTAAAGTTGGTCACATTTGTTGATGGCAATTTTTCTCCTTGCCTGGAAGCACCAGATATTACACGCTCCCAGAGGCAGGACACTGGATTTCATGGACCAGTGTGGTCAGATTCATATAGAAAATCCTCTTTCTATGAAACGATCAGCTTTTGGAGAATATTTAGTACCTGGTTTCTTTTTAGATACGACAATTGCTACAACAGTTCTATCACGTGTCATAATTGCAGATGTCTCCTAAAGCACAATCTGGGGGTTCTTTGACAACTCATGTAACTGCTGTGCTACATGATTATTTCATGTGGCTTTTCAGTGGTTGTGCACATGATCTATAATACCTACCAGGATACAATTTCCCTTCTGGATTTTTAATGGTCGACATTATTCATTAAGGAATAAAGGCTGATTTCCCCCCTCCCTTTATAACTTAGATAAGAGAACATGTCATATAGCTATTGTAATACTCTCTCCAATTGATTGGTTTGGGGGGAGGGATGTCTTAGAGCCTGATTACTTTTCACTGCAAGCATTTACTGTAGGGTATTCAGTAAGATGTGAAAAGCTGAAAAATTGAAAGGATGCCAAAGTGTGAATTCATTCAGCTGGCATAAATGCTCATTTCAAGCAGCAAATGACCCAGTACCTTGAAATGAGAATATATCCCTCAACATGCCTTCTGCTTCTGAAAAAGAATTGAGAAAGATGTGTAACTAACTGTGAGACCATTACTGAAACAGATAGTTATAACAGTATTTTAATGGCTAAAAATCTTAGATTGTTTCTTACCAAAATGGTAGTTTTCTTCTCTTTTCCAATACTCCTTTCACCATTCTGTTTTAGGCCAGAATAAAATCTGCTTTATTCCGGGGATGGTTGGACCGATCTTGGAAATGACTCTGATTCCAGAAGTTGAGCTACGAAAAGCCACGATCCCAATCTTCTTTGATATGATGCTGTGTGAATATCATAAGACAGGAGAATTCAAAAAGGTAATAGAAAGATGCATAGGATTTGTTTTAATAGCTACATTATTCTTAAAGACTCTGAATAGAGCTGGGCATCTGCTTCAAAAAGGTATTAAGCATTTGTTAACATTTAATTGTGAACTGTATGCAGTGAGTTTTCTGTTTGCAGAAAGTGAAAAACCCAGGAAATTTTGTGTGACTATGTTGGGGTGCAAGTGCAAAAAAGTGACTTAATGTAGCCCTCTTTCCGCTTGTAAACAAACGAGTCATTCAAACATGAAACGGGCACACTATCACGAGATGTTAGAGACCGATGATCATACAGCAGAAGTAATAAGTGTTGAATGCAGAATACCTGAAGTAATAGTTATAGTGAATAGTTTGCAAGACATGAAATATTATTAGAGTTGGTCATAAAACCCAAACTTTTCCCACAGAAAATTTCACAGGAAAAATCCCATTTCAAAACTTTTGAACCAAAATGTAAGGTTTTCAATGAGAATTTTGTAAATGAAAAAAAATGTTCATTTAATCTTAAAATATTATTCAATTTTGTTTTTCAGAAACTGATTTTTTTTATTTGTTCTTTTATTCCCCCTTTCTCTCCCTTTTAAAATCCCTTCCCCCTTTCTTCCACTGGAAAAAGCAGTGGGGGAGTGGAGAGGTAAAAAAAGGTTAAAAAGTGCAAAAGTGATTAAACACCCGCTTTTCACAGATCTTTGCTGTTTTATAACTGGAAAAACTTTGAAAACAAAGTTTGTGAAAGTCAGATTTTATTAAGGAAAATGCTTTCCATCCCCCTAAAATTTTCCATCTGGAACACAGAAAATTTTTGTCTACATAAATTTTGATAAAAACAGGAAAATAGTAAAAAAAATTTGACCAGCTCTAATGTTCATGGAATATTTGTAAAATAAATTCAAATAACAAACAAGTGTGGTCCAGTGGTAGGGTCCTGCACTAAGACTCAGGAGACCTGGATTCTAGTGCCAACTCTGTCACTGACCTACTGTGTCCCCTTCGGCAAGTTGCTTTACCTCTTTGTCCTTTTGTTTCCCTTCCTGTGTATCAGATAGTAAGCTCTTTGGGGTAGGATTGTCTTAAACTGTGTTTGTACAGCGCCTAGCACAATGACACCTCTAGGTACTGCTGCATGCAAATCATAAATGATAACAATCAGCCTGCATATTGATAAATGACAAACAATACATTAAATTAGTACAAAAATCGGTTACATTTCACTATCTACAATGTTAGTTGACAAAAATTGAGTACATTACTGGTGTGTGCACATGTATATCTGTGCTTTAGTTTATATGGGACAAGATTTTTCTATTAGCTGAACACGGAACAAAGTGGCAGATGAAATTTCCAGTTTGTTTAGTAGTTTAGCACAAGTCTTTTGGTTTAAGGCCAAGATTATAAACCACTTTGCTTCTGTGCATCTGTTCTTTCCATGTCCTAATAGTCCTATATTTGCCTTCTTAAAAATGTTTTCCTATTCTTGGCTTATACTTCATCTCTTGGGATAGATGCATAGACCTACATACACCAAAAAACCCTGGAAACACATCAGTCAAACTGACTGATTTTCAAGGATAAAAGCTTAAGCACCTAGAAGATGCCAGACACCCACATGACCCTTACATTATGCAGATATAAATATGTTTCAGGTGATATTTTTCTTCAGTGTAGAGGAACAAAGATGTTCACTTTAGTACACTTTAAGAATAATTGCCTAATAGTTTTCATTGGATAGTCACTCGTGCTGCATTATTATTTTATGATGTTTGTTATACTTCATTGGACTCCATAGTGTTGCTTCTGAAATTAAAATCATTTTTATGAGTTGAAAAGCATGTCTCCTCTTTGCCTGCAATTGCATTGGCATGATTAAGATAAACTTTTTTAAATTCACAGTTGAAGTTTGGACTTGGAGAAAAATACACATTGGAAAGGAATTGGGTTGTAGTAATTTAGTAATTTTCACCTCATGGATTAGTAAAGTTAAAGAAGAGACACTAATGGAAAATAAAGCATATTTATACATAATATGCAAGCATTGAAGCTCTAGTATTTGTTAATGAATAGTTTTAAAGTGGACAGTGATATTGTTTGTGAAATAAGATATTTTCTTTAAAAAGATGAAGTGTAAAATTTTCAAAAATGAGTTGGGCACTTAGGAGCCTTCCAATGAAACTTTAGTCTTCTGTGTGCCTAAGTCGCTTTTGAAAATGGGATGTAGTCTTCTAAGGGTATGTCTACACTATGGGATTAATCCGAATTTAGATAATTCGAATTTGGGAAACAGGTTGTATAAATTCGATTGTGCGCGGCCACACTAAGCACATTAATTCGGTTTTTAACCACATTAATTCGGTGGTGTGCGGCCACACTACCCCATTAATTTAACCACATTAATTCGGTGGTGTGCGGCCACACTAACCCTAATTCGAATTAACAAAATCGATTTTGGCGCTACTCCGCTCGTCGAGGTGGAGTACAGAAATCGATTTTAAGTGCCCTTTAATTCGAATTAACTGGCTCTGTAGTGTGGACGGGTGAAGGGTTAATTCGGATTAACGCAGCTAAATCCGAATTAAAGTCGTAGTGTAGACCAGGCCTTGATGTCCCAGGGGATTTTGAAATTTCCCCCCCCCAATTCAGTTAAGGATATGAGGATTAGCTACATTTATCAAATACTATTGTACTTCAGCCATTCTTAGAAAATATCTTTATAATTATTTGGTGCTGTAACTTTCAGGAAACAAACAGCGGGTAGGGAGGAGAAACACCACCACAGCACCCAATTACCACCATAGGGGTGCCTATTGATGTATTGTAGTTCTAAGTGCACAACATACAAATATATTTCTTTTGGGAACTATTGCCTCTAGTATACACGTGTAACTCCCCTTGACACATAATAGAAATTATACACAGGCATGGAGGTGATTTGAACTGTAACAAAAAAAGTATAGTGATCAAGAGTATCTGTAAACCATTCTTGCTGGAATGTACCAACAAGACCTCCTAATGAAAAGAACATGATCAGAGTGGTAAGCCACTAATATTTGCTATAACTGAGCTGATAAAACATCAACCAAAAAGAGAGATGCAATAAACTTGCTTCTGAAAAGCTTTTTTTCTAAGAACAGTAAGTAGTGTACCTCTTTGCACAGTAAATGAAAACATTATTAAAATAAACATGGATTTAAGTGAATCTTTACAAAGATTTAACTTTGGCTTATGAAAGATTAATTCATATGTAATAGTATTTCCATTCAAGTAAGCCATGTCTATTCATGTTTCCATATCTTCATTTAAATCCTTCACTTATTGCAGCCATCTGTGGACATATTCTAAAACTACTTTTCTTTCCTGACAGTTATTGAAAGAGAAAAAATAACAGTGCTGACTAACGAGGACACAATAATAACTCTCACTAATGAAGTGTACTTGCAGGACTAGAGGGTGGATATTTACTCATATTCAGGCTATAGAAGTCATGTATCTTTCCTAGCTAATAGCTGTAGAAGGTCACTAAGTAAATGAATGGAAGTGGTTTCAGCAAGCTCCCATGGTCAGGACTCATAGTTCTTGAAATCTTAATAGGCCCAAGGATTTAAAGGAAATAGAACTGCCTCATTATCAATAGTAAGGAGCATTTCAATTTACAACCCATCCAAAAGTTGCATGACACTTCAAACTCAAATCCACCTAACCAAAGCACAGACTGCAGACTGTGCGGTTGGTATTAAAGTCTGCTCAAGTCTTTGAGGCTTTTTATTTCACTAGAAAAATACAGCAAGCAGTTTTAAAGCCATATTGGATCCTGTTACAAGCAGGCATCACTCCACTGAAGTCGGTGGAGATACATCTTGATGTACTAGGGCTGAATTTGGCACTTAAACTTTAGGAATCAAAGGCTTCTCCTATGAATGTTTGCCAGCATCTTTTATTTATTTTAGTTCAAGCAACCAACTGCTTTTGACAAGCTGCCAGTGCATGCAGTTAGTGTTGTTACAGGGGAAAGAAAAGGACTTATGAGGGCTGAAGAAATCATTTTTAGTACTTTCTTCTTCCCAATTCTTGGTTTTCTTTCTGGATCAAGCAACTGTGGAATTATCACCTCCTCTTTAGAAATGAAATCCATTTCTTACCAACTGCTCAATACGTATTAGGGAGGATTTTATTGGTTGATGATTTGTCTTAGATAGTGGCTGACCATATGCTGCCCTCACACTTCTGCATATTACTATGGCAAACATTCAAACGGGGAAATCTTGATAGTCTACAGGTCACAGCTCTAACGAGTGGCTCAGAATGCTACCCACCCACCTCAAGAGGTGGGAAACTTGATGGGGCTGGCAGTGATTGGGACAGATGCAGCTGAAAGAAAGAGGAGAACACGCTAAGGGAATGAAGGGCTGCCCCTCCCCTGCTGAGTTTTTAGCCACTCATTGGCTAGCTTGAGGAGGAAAGAAACTGGTCCATCACGCTCCCCTTTTGTTAATTTAAACCTTAGTCCAAACCATATGGAGCCGCTTTTTGCTCCATTCCAGCAGCCCCACCCTCCCCAACCTGTACTGGTAACTTTGGAGCTGTGTTTTGTGGAGGCTGTGAGTCTGACCAATCACCTGTTTTGGGTTAACTAGGAATTATTTCTTCCCATAGAGGCTAAATTAACAGAGGCCTGGGCATTTTTTTTTTTTTTTTTTTTGCCTTCCCTGCAGCATCCTGGAGGCATTGTTAAGTTAAATAGGAATAGGATTTAATTATTAACAATAGTAAACAGGTTAGTTTGTCACAGTTTGCTGCCAGTCTCCAGTGCAGTTAAAAGAAACAATCCCCAGAAGAAAAAGACCCAGAATTTTACTGAGGGAACTTGTGTTCCTGGGATAGGGGCAGACCATGTGGCCTTCACAGGCTAAGGTGCCCTCTTTTAGTACCTCCGTCCCTCTTGTGGGAGGGTGGGTGGTTTGACTCAGATGAGCGAGTGGAATCCGCGGGGTAGGCTGAGG